AAAAAAAAAGAATTATCATAAAAAGTAAAATAAAAAATAAGAAAGGAAATAAATGATTAATAATAATAATAATAATAATATTTATTTCCTATAATAAAAGAAAAGAATATAAAGACTTAAACTTATTTATATTTTGCTTACATTTATGTGCTTGTGAAAGTATTCTTTGTCGAGCATTAGCAAATGCTAAAATATCATCATCAGTTTTTTTGTCACCTGTTAACGGTAAATTCAACCTAATCAAAACATATGTATATATGTATATGTCATATTGTATTAATATTTCTACGTACTGTTGGGATGTTTTAGAAGCACTACTTGGTGCAGATGAATGATTTGATTGAAGCTAGAAAATTTCAATTTTGTTTTGATTAAAATTTAAAAAAAAAACAGAAATTTCTTACTGATACTGTTGTTTGTCTTGATAGATTACCATTAGTGTCTGATGGTTTCATTTCTAATAATTGACGTTGTTGTTCCTATGATAAGAAAAGAAAAAGCAAATATTTTTCAAGAAATTATTTCTTTTTCATACTGCTTGTTCAGATTGTTGTTCCCACCAATCATCAAAATCTTTTAACAATTGTAATCGATCTTTTTCAATAATATGTTGTATATGTTCAATTTCTTGTTTCATATTTTTTAAACGATTAAAACATTCACGATATCTATAAAAAAATAAAATAAAATAAAATAAAATTTCAAATAAAATTTTCTTTACTTTATTTGTTCTTGTTCCATTGTTGTATGTAATTCATTTAATCCTCGATTTTTTTCTAGTTCATCTTGTGTTAATTGTGCAGCGAGACGTAAATGCATTTGTTCATATTGTCCTTTCATATGATCTATGAAATTAAATATATAAAAAAAAAAAAAAAAACAAAAAGATAATTTTTGTATTATTACTAATTCGATTTCGACATTGATTTATTTCTTCTCCAAGTGTTTTAGCTTCTGTATAACGTTGTTTTAATATACGTTTATGTTCTTCAAGTTTTTGATTAAGAGGATTATCTCGTCGAAAATGATCAAATGCTTCTTGACGACCAGCAGACATATTTTTCACTGAAATTAATAATTGAAGAAATGATGATAATGATCTATTTACAATAAACATATATATTTATATTTATTCCGTTGAAAAAATTTTCAATTATAATTTTCTATTTTAGTTTGTAGAGCTTAATCAATTGATCAGAAACGTATGAAATATTTTACTCAAAAAAAAAAAAGCAAAACTTGATAAAATAATTAAATAAACAGAAAAAGATATCAATGCAGATGAATACGGTAAATCGATACTAAAAATAAGACGCAAGACGGTATTAATAAACTAAAAATCACGACATAGAAGCATATGTTTCTCTTATACAGTAGTATTGTTTAGTTTCTTCCATGCACAACAACAACAAAAAAAAAAGAGATAATCTCAAACTTCAGAAAAAAAGTAAGTGAAACAAGTGATTCTGGATTCGCTTTCTAAAATCCGATCAATTTTGCTAAGTGTACGTTTGCTTGTTGCTGATGAAGTTGGAATAGAACTGAGAGTGTTCGTGCCAAGCGTCATACTTGTGGATAGATAGTTCATTTTTCTCTCCATGTATTTCAATTACTTCATCATATAGTTCCTCATCATCTGTAGATGAATTTTTATCACAAAAAAGAATTCTCTTAGTAGAACAATATTGCTTTCTATTTCTGTGATTTATTCTCAAGTGTAATAAATTATTTGATCATGATTATGCTTTTATATATTTAGTAGTTTGAAAAAAGTAAAAATCTTTTGAAACATTAAGATTATCTTTCTTCTATTATCTCAATAGGTTTTATTGTCTTTAACTTACATTGATTTGTAGCACGATCAGTCGATGAAAATGAACTTCCAGTTGGAGGTATCGTACTAAAAATTTAAAGATTATCTTATTTGATAAAAAAAACAAAATATATAAATATTGATTACCTTTCATTAAATGGTCGATATTCTGTTTTCTTTTCTTTTTTTAACATATTCACAAGTATACTAATTTCATTATCTCGTAATTTAATAATTTCTTTTAATTCTTTAACTTCTTTACTATCATATGGTGATATATCATGTGTTATATAAATTGGTTGACTATTTTTTGTTGATTGTGTTGATACTGTTTTAGCTTGTTCTTGTAATTCAAGATATAATTTCTATTAATATAATAAAATAATTATTTTTATATGTATTAAAATAAATTCTTTCTTACTTTAAATGCTCGATAACATTGATCAATTTTACGCATATCAGCACCAACATTTAATGTTGCTTCATTATCTGTATCAGCTAAATAAACTTTAACTTGTTCAATTAATCTAAATAGAATAAAGAAAATAAAAAAATTTAATTTTTTTTTCTTCTTCTTCAAAATTTACTTGGCCATCATTTCAGGTGTTAATGGTTCATTAAATTGTTCATCACCATTTTGCATTGTAATTTGATTACGTAATTGTAAATTTTCAGCTCGTAATTGATTAATTAATAAACGTGGATCTAATTCTTCATTAAGTATAGCATCATTTTTAATTAATGCAACACGTTGAGAAAATCGACAAGTTGATATTGTTTCCTTAAACAAAAAAATAAGAAAATTTGAAAAAGGAAAAATTTCTTACTTCAATATTTCGTTTATCAATTGAACATGTTGCAATCATTGTTGTCATACAATTTCCACCAAGACTATCACGTAATACAGATGTCATCATAGAATTTCGATATGGTATATGTGAACGATGTTTTTCTGCTAATGCAACAATAACTTGTTCAAGATAATGCAAAGATAAATTAATATATTTTGCTTCAGTTAATAATATACCATTTACATTTGATTTAGATACACGTTCAGAACTAAATTGAAATGAAATTGTTTTTTAAACAAAACAAGACAAATCTTAAATTGATACTAATTTTGAAATTTTTGTGTGAAAATAATTATAAATTTCAATTCTACAAATTGAAAGAATCATACGAATTTAAACTAATATAAATGTAATTATCTATACTTTTCAATCCTACCATTCTAAAAACATCGGAAATTTACTGTCTTGGGTGGATGAGGGTGATCATAAGGGTCCGTCATTGGAATGGAATGAATAGTCGTTGTCACCGTAATGGAGACAATATCAGTATCAGCAAAATAACATATCTCGTTTTTTTGTCTTTGATATCTGCTTTTCTGATGACCAGTGTTTTATCTAGCGTGGAAGCGACGTTCCTCCGAAGACTTAATTGATCCTTTCAGAGTTTTAAATCGCCCCTTCGGAAAAGAAAATCTGGTAAAAATACTACTGATGACAATTCTCAATTATGCATACACAAGTAAATCACTGATTTCTATTATTATTAGTAACAATTTGAGATTTGCCATAATGTCAAAATAAAAGAAAGAGAATTAATTACAAACCCAGCTAAATCGACAAGATGTAATTTTGCTTTACGTAAAGTTACTGAACCAATTTCTTTACTAGTTATATGTATTGTAAATATACAATGAGAACGTGTTGATGCTTGATTCATTGGTGTCTAAAATGAAAAAATTAGAAAATTAATCTAAAACTATTAGTTGTTTTCATTTTTTTTCTGTTTGTATTACTTCAGCAATCATTCGATTTGTATCACCAAGAAATAATAAATTAAGTGCTTCTTCTTCATTTTGTGCAGCATGAATTGATAAATTTTTTAAATGCATATTTTGATCTTCATCTTCCATTAAAAGTACTTTTCTATAAAATAAAACAAAAATAAAAAATATTATCTGATTTGTTTTTTTATTAAATTTCATAAGAAAAAATCTTTACGGTAAATCTTCAAGTTTAGCTGCTTCATGTTTAGGATCAAGAAGATCATAACCATTTTCATTATAGATTTCCAAATAAGATACATGAACAGTATAACTTTGATCCGAATGCTCAAAAAAACAAAAAAACAAGAATTTATTAATATGAATGTATAGTTTTATCATATTTACTTGTTTAAATTGTTCAAAAATATATGAAAGTGAACGTGGAATAATACCACGATCAGCAAAACGTTCAGGTCCACCGGTTATTGTAAATGTTTTACCTGATCCTGTCTAGAATTTAAAAACAAAAATTATTTAATATTCAATTGAAAAAAAAAAGATCTTACCTGTCCATAAGCAAATATTGTACCATTATATCCAGCGATGACACTATATAATAAAAATTAAAAAATCTTCTATTCTAAAATATTAATAATCAGAGATAGAATTCAATGCTGGAGAGAGATACAGTGCAGTGTCGATAATTTTCAGAAATAGGAAAGCATTACATTCCTAATTAATAATCTTACTTATCAATAACTGGTCGAACAACTAATGAAAAAATATCATCTTGTTTTGAATTTTGATCAAATACTTGACGAAAACTGTAAGATAAAAATTATAAAATAATTTATTTTTTGATTCGATTTAACTAACCGAAAACGAAAATCTTCTCGTTTATTATTTATATAACCTTCTGTTGCCTCTTTTGGAATAATAATTGATAGATTAGCTCCATCATCAACTGGATTTATTTCATAAACCTATAAATAATATTTATTTTTGCTTGTTTCTGAAAAATGACAAAATTTTTAATACCGGTGTTTTTGATTTTGTTGGTTTTATTCGACAAAATATTTGAATTGTTTGTTTTACCATTTTATTGTTTAATATATTTCAATCCTCAAAATTTTAACGATAGATCAAGCATTTCTTTTTTGTTCTTTCTTTCTCTCTCTATAAAATACTATGACAACATTCACCATCTCCTCTATATTGATTAATATGATGTCGCTCATTGATGAAGAATTTTTTTTTTATTATTTTTTGGAATCTCATTATGTTTGTTTAATGTTATTCGGCTGGAATAACAATACTACAAACATCAAAACAAAAAATTGATGAATGTAGAAAACAAAAACAACAAAAAGAAAAAACACACTGAAAATTTTTTTTAAACATCAGTTTGTTTATTCATTCGTCATCATCATCATTAAATTTGATCTTTTTGTTAGTTGTTTCACCAACACTATGACCGTTTTCATTATTAGTACCAAAACTACGTTTTGCACCACCACCACCACCACCACGAGATCCACCACGACCACCGCCACCAAATGATGGTCGACCTTTTTTAGATTCTGGACATTCAAATGATCTATGGCCATCTTTACCACAATTGAAACAAGCATCTAAATATAAATTTTAGCTTTTTGATCATTAAAAACAAAAAAGAAAATAATTTACTTGATCGTTCTCCACCACCACCTGAACGACCACCAGATTTTTTTGGTTCTGAACATTCAAATGATTTATGACCATCTTTACCACAATTGAAGCATGCATCTACAAAAATTATTTTTTAAAGTGTTTTTTTTTGTTTCATTGTTAAACAAAAAATAAAATAATTTACTTGATCGTTCTCCACCACCACCTGAACGACCACCAGCTTTTTTTGGTTCTGAACATTCAAATGATCTATGACCATCTTTACCACAATTGAAACATGCATCTACAAAAATTATTTTTTATAATGTTTTTTTTTCCATTGTTAAACAAAAAAGAAAATAATTTACTTGATCGTTCTCCACCACCTCCACCACCTCCTGAACGACCACCGGCTTTTTTTGGTTCGGGACATTCGAAAGATTTATGACCATCTTTGCCACAATTGAAACAACCACCACCACCACCACCACCACCGCCACCTAAACATAAAAGAACAATATCTTTTTAATTTTTCGAAAAATAAAAATAACATACCGAATTTATTTCCACTATTGCGTTGAGAGTGTGTACCATTCGATTCGGGACATTCCCAAGATTTATGACCTTCTTTTTGACCTAAAATCATTTTTTTTTCTTTTACATTAATTTATACACAATATGAAGAAACACTTACAATTAAAACATGCATCTAAAAAGTTAAGTAAAAAAAAAAAAACAAAGAATAATAAAATATTGAAAAAAATCAAAAATATCAATTATTCTTACTTGATTTTCCAGAATTTCGATTACCACCACCACCACCACCACCGTATGGTGATTTATTTTTACCACCTGAATAATTTGTATAATCCTCTTTTGATGATTCATCAATTTCAGGTAATTCTGTAATAGGTCCCATTTGTATTCTTGCACTATCTTTCCAATAACCTTGTAATTGTTCATCAAGTTCACTTGGTAAATCGAATATAGCACTCTAATTAGAAATTCGTTTTTTTTTTTAATAATCAAATATTTAGAGACATACTTTAAAATCTTTCGTAAATGCAACTTGTGCAATAGTACCTTTAGCATCAAAATCATCACCAAAACATTTACGTAACATTGTAAATACAAATCCGACACTTTTTATTTCATCATTTGCTGTTAATTGATATGTTGTATAATTCTAAAAAAAGAATCAAATTTATAAAAAAAAAAAAAAACCTAGATTAAAAGAAAGGTTTTTATTTACTTCCTGTTTTGATAAAAGTGATCGAGGAGTTTGATCTGTCATTTTGGATTTGTTATTTGATGAAGTATTAATAGGTTCTTCAGAATTCTAATTCATAAAGAAAAAAAAACAAACAATTCATTGAACGAAAAGATTTTTCTAGAGAAAATGTTACGTCATCATCATCATCATCATCATCATCAGCTGATGTTTCTTGTGTGTTTTTTTTGGCCAAATTAATTGTAACATAATCTGTTGTTAAGAATTTTTTTGTTAATTTACGAACTGAATCAGGCATAGTTCCAGAAAAAACAATCAATTGTGCTTTTGTTTCTTGATCTATTTAAAAGGTATAATTATTTAAAATTCTCTTTTTTTTTTTTTTGATGATTACCTGATTTAAAAATATGTTTAAAAATTGTTTTTATATGATCGATTGCAGGTGAATCAAGCATACGATCAATTTCATCAAGAATAACATGTTTTATTTGAGATAAATCAATTTTTTCATTATCAATAAATTCTTTTAATCGATCAGGTGTTGCAACAAGAATATCACAACCATTTGAAATAGCTGTTTCTTGATCATCTGATTTTTTCTTGGCACTATAAATTGTTACAATTGATAAATCATTTATAATTGATTGAAAATCATCTGAGATTTGTTTAGCTATGAAAAAAAAAATTTTTTTAGTATTTATTTTTTTGTTGTTTTCCTTAAAATACTTACTTATATCTCGTGTTGGTCCTAAAATAAGAGCACGTGGTGCTCGTCCAGATACTAATTCAACGGATTTATCATGTTGAAGTAATTCAACAATAGGAATTACAAAAGCCAATGTTTTACCAGTTCCATTAGATGATTGAATTAAACAATCTTTTTGTTCATAAATACCTGTATAACTTTCGGTTTGAACTGGATAGAGAAACTCAACATTACGAGCTAAAATAAAATAATAATAAAACTTTGCTTTTGTTTTTTTTTGTTTACAAAAGAAAGAAAAAAATCAAATTTACCTTTAAGTTTCTTGATGGTCTTTTTTGAAATATTAAAATTTTTTAAATTTCCTTTTTCTTTATCTTCATTAGTTAATTGAATATTTGTTGTCTTGTTTAATCCATTACCTTCTTGAGAATTTGTTGGATCTTGTTCAAATTCTAATATTCAATATAAAAACAAAATGATAATAAATTATTTTATAAATAAATAAAATTAACCTTCAATAGCCATTTTATTTTGATTTTTATGTTTCATTTTTTATACGGAAACGAAAAACTCGATAATGGAAATTTAACAAGATCTAAAATAATAAAATTAATATTTGTTTTTTCTTCTTTATTTTCAATTGATACGTATCTTTTATTTTACTATAAAAGTTTATAAGAGTAAAGATAATCTTTAAAAAAATATGGAAAAAAAAAACGACGAAATTTTAACTATAAGTTTTTTCTAATAAATTCAAACATTCGATCTTCCATATAAATTCTTTCATCAAGTTTTCTTGGCATATGTCGTTCATCAGGAAAAAGAATAAGTTCATAAGATTTACTTGCTCGTATAATTGCATTTATAAGACGAGCTGAATGACGAAAATGAACATTTTCATCAATTAAACCATGTATTATCATTAAATGACCTGTTAAATTATTTATATGATGCATTACACTTGATACAACATACCCATGAGGATTATCTTCTGGTGTACCCATATATCTTTCTGTATAATGAGTATCATATCTAATCAAAAAAAAAAAAAAAAAGATTTCAAACATAAATATTATTATAATATTTATATTTACCCATCCCAATGTGTAACTGGTGCACCAGCAATTCCTAATTTAAAAACTTCACTTTGACGAACTAATGCCATAGCAGACATATAACCACCATAAGACCAACCATACATACCAACACGTGCTTTATCTGTAATACCTTGTTTTATAAGATAATTTATACCATCAACTTGATCTTCAAGTTCTAAATGTCCCATATCATATTTAATAACACTTTCAAAAGCTAAACCTCGATTTGGACTACCACGATTATCTAAACGTAATACGACATAACCAGATTCAACTAAACGTTGACAACGCATATCTGCACGAAGGGACCAAGAATCTACCACACTATAAAAGAAAATCGAACGAATTTAAAAAATAAACTTAATCTTATTTCATCTATTTAACATACCGTTGAAGATGTGGTCCACCATAAACTGATACAAGTGTTGGATATGGTCTTTGATATTTTCCTTGTTCATCATCGGGTTTATAAACTGCACAATAAAGTGTATCATTATTTCTATTTTGTATTTTTATTAATTGAGGTTTAATAAGATGAAATTGTTCTATTATTTGTATTTGTCCTTGTTGTAAATAATCTAATGTTTTAATAATTTTTTTCTTTTTAATATCTAACATTCTTATAATTGGATATTGATCAATTGAATTCCATTGTGTTATACAATATTCATATGTTCGATTAAAACAATAAATAACATGACAACCAGGCTCTTGTGTTATACGATCTATTTTTGATATATCATCATTATAATTAACACTATAAAGATGTACTTCTAATGGTGTTTCACGATTAGCAAGAAAATAAATAATTGAATTTTCTTCATCAATATCAATTATACGTTGTACAACCCATTCACCATTTGTTAATGATTTAATTAATTTTCCAGTATTTAAATCATATAATTCTAAATGCATATAACCAGTTCGTTCACTAGCCCATATAAATTGTGTTGGTAATTTTTTTAATGTATGAAATAAATCATGTAAATTAATCCATGATTGACTTATTTCTTCAATTAATAATTTTAATTGTTTTTTATTTAAAAAATCATATTGATATAATTGTAATTTTGTTTGTTGACGATTTTCAATTTGTAAAGCAAGACTATTATTAGGAAAAAAATGTACACGTGCAATATAATAATCATAAAATGAACTTAAATCAATCCAATGAATATTAGGTATTGTTTTATTATTATTTATTAGATCAATAATACCAATAGTAACTTTTACATTTGTTTTACCAGCAAATGGATATCGATGTTCTTCACTCTAAAAAAATTTTATTAATAAAAACAAAAAAATTATTTATTTATTTATTCTAAATCTTATTTTACTTGATCAGGATCATCAGAACCAGAATGTGAAATACGAAATATTGGTACATTCGATTCATCAACTTGAGTGAATGCAATAAAACGTGAATCATCTGACCACCAAAAACCTTCACTACGATCCATTTCTTCTTGAGCAATAAATTCAGCAAGGCCATTAGTTTTATTTGGTTGATCACGTGCATCAAATGTTAATTGACGTGGTTGTGGAGATGTTTCTATTGTTGATACACAATAAAGTTCAGAATCTTGAACATATGCAACAAATGAACCATCAGGTGAAAGTCTTGGATCAATAATTGGTGGTTGATTAGATCCATTAACCAAAAGACGAAGTTCTTTATCATCATGAACATATAAATCACTACCAATAGGTATAAGCATTAATGGTCGAGCTCTATTTTTAGACCATTGATAACGAGTTATACCAGTGATTAATTGACGTTGACGCTTAAAGTAAAAGAAATAATTTGTAACGATGTTTTTATTTTTTTTGTTAATTATAAATAAAAACGTACACAAAGAAAAAAGTTTATTATTAGTTTTTTTTTTAATTTATCGATATGGATAAGAAAATTTTTAGGTTTTCAATGAGATTCTTACATCAGTAATGAGATTGTTCTTTCACATAGTACTTAGAGTTAATTTTTGTTAGAACTTTTTTCCTGAAATCCACATCAGACTTTAACGAGCGATGAAGTCTCTGAAGAGTTCGAGTCCTTAAGTTATTGCTGCGAAAAAATTGCATTTTGCCGATATTTTCTTTTTTTCAAATCAATGTTGAGGTCTCGTGAGATTCTACATAATGTGCATAGTCATGATTCAAAAACAATTAATCAATTGAAAAACTTTACTCGTCACTACTTGTTTTCGTTTAATCTAAATAATCTCTCATGTTTTTATATATAGAATTTCAAAAATAAAACACACACACACTTCACGTCGTAATTTTTCTTCCATTGAAAGATTTTCTTCTGTTTTTCCATGGCCGATATCAGGTTCAGCATAAACAAATTCTTTTTCTGTCTGAAGATTATATGCATAAAGTTGTCTTGTTAATGTTTGATTTGGTGAACGAAGATAAGTTAAAAGAGTATCATCGGGACTAAATTTTATTGATTCAGCTAAATTAAAACCAGGCTGTGGTAATGATGCCACATCTTTGCTTGTTATTGAACGATAGGGCATCTACAATAGTATAATTATATTGCATTCAATAAATATACATTCATTATTGCACAATAACAACAAAAATATTTCAGATCAATTTTGATCGCAAGAAAGAGAACAAGAAGCATGATTTGACTTAGCAGTAATATACAAAAATAGTGTACGATACACAAAAAACAACACTAAAAAAATGAATAAATATGCATAAAAATATATAATCATATTGAATTTAATTCCATCGATTTCTTTTTAAGTATGTTTCTTTTGTTGGAATTGATTTTGTGATTGTTCATATGATGGTGGCATTTGATAATTCTATATATTTAATTGAATAAATTCATTAAATTATAAAACAAACAAACGAACCTGTTGTTCATTCATTTGTCCACTAAAATTATTATTTTGATAAATCGGTTGAGATTGATATTCATTTGTCATTGAAGGATACATTGTAGAATTATTTACATTTGTTGATGATATATCAGGATATTGTGGAATGAATTCTGGTGCTGGTAAACCTGTTGGTTGTCGTTGATAAACTCCTTCATATGGTGCTTGTGCTTGTGAAATATACATAGTTGTATCTATAATTTAATGAAATAAAATTTTATATAAGAAATTGTTTTTTTTTTTGTTTATCTAAAATTTACCTGCAAAATGATTATTCGCAGCCTGTGCTGTTTGATATGATGGTGGTGGTGGTTCATAAAGATTAGCTGCAGCCATACTATAAGAACTAGAATCAACAGAATAAATAAGAAAAAAAAAAACAAGATTTTAATACGTTTAAAAAAAAAAAAAAACTTACGGTGGAGTTCCTTCTATCTCTCGATGAACTAAAAAAGAAATTAGAAAACAAAATTGTATTTTGATTGGTACATATAACAATAATGACTCACAAATCGAATTAACTTCACGTAATGCTGTACTCGTATCAATGGCACCACCCGATGAATAAGTTAATTGGAATTTAACTTCACCTTGAAATCCACCTAAACAATAAACAAAAAAATACCCTATATAAATGTCAGTTAAAACACATATTCTTATCAATTGATTGATTCGAAAGCAAAAAAAAAAAGCCGTACAACAAAACGATACAATTAATTTAACTATGAGAATGAAACAAATCGTATGTTGGTTTTTTTTCATCTTCATCAATCATATTCAGATTTGTATTTGTACTAAATCTGCACCGAATTATAATCAATATTTAGAACAATTTGGTTATACACAATCTGATCATACATCTAAACTTGAAAGTCGACTCTTTTCACCTTCGGGTAAACCATCGGCTAATGAAGGTATTAAAAAATTTCAACGTCTTTTTAAATTACCAGTAAGTTATATTATTTAATCGTTTTTAATATTAATATATAAATATTTAGGAAACGGGTATACTTGATGAACAAACTAAAAAACTTATGCAACGACCACGTTGTGGAAATCCAGATATAGGTATTCTTAATGTTAAAAAACAATCTAGTAATGATGGTAAACTTAAACCTTTACTATTAAATCAAGGACGATTAACTAATATGAATATAGCTGAAAGTTATGTAACACATGAAAAAAGTTGGCCAATAAAACATTTAAAATGGTTTATCGAAGAATATCCAAAACAACAAAAACATATAACATCACAAGATGATATTCGTCGTATAATAAATCAAGCATTTCATGATTGGGAAAAATATTCTGGACTTACATTTGAAATGGCTAAAACAAAAGAAACAGCTAATTTTAATATCAAATTTTCTTCAAAAGATCATAATGATGGATATCCATTTGATGGTCAAGGTATAACATTAGCACATGCTTTCTATCCAAAAAATGGTGATATACATTTTGATGATGATGAATATTTTACAGATGATTATACAAATCAAAATGATCAATATACATTAAGACTTGTTGCTGCACATGAAATAGGCCATGCACTTGGTTTATCACATTCATTTGCTGAAGATTCTCTTATGTTTCCTGTTTATCAACAATTTAATTCAGATTATAGTATATCAAAGGATGATCAAGATGGTATTCAAAGTTTATATGGTAAATCAGATGAGAAAATAACAACAACAACAACAAAAACAACTTTATCACCAATGACGTCAACCCGTTCTCCTGATATATTACCAATGAATAATTGGTGTTCAGGAGATTTTCAAACAGGTTGTGAAGGTCCTGATGGTGATCTTTATTTATTTAAAAATACTCATCTATGGAGATATCGTGCACGAACAAAACAAGGATGGGATCCTCAACCAACATTAATTAGTCAACGTTTTCCACATTTAAAAGATAAAACAATAACAGCTTGTGTTAAATCTGTAACTGGTTATGTATATTTTTTTCATAAGTATGATCTATGGAAAGCTAGAACACATTGGTCTATGGAAGGACCACATAGATTACGTGGAAAAAATTATCCACAAAATTCTCATGTTGCCTTATTTCATAATAATTCAATATATTTATTACAAAATGATATAGCTTATTCTTTAAATGAATTTAATTATAATAGAGAATTAGGTATACATCCTATTACGACAATACTTGATTCACCACCAAAAGAATCAATTCATTCAGGTTTTACATATGGTGAACGACATTATATATTTACAAGAAATCATGTTTATGTTTATAATTCAATATATGGAAATTTATTAGATGGTTATCCAAAATCATTAACAAATGGCTGGTTTGCATGTGATCCAACATTACAAATACAAAAATTAAACAAGAAAACAACAAAAGAATATAATAGAAATAATGAACGAGACAACTATCATGATCGTCATCGTCATCATGATCATGATCATAATCGTCATTATGGGCGAAGACGGCTATTTCCTCCTAATCATCATGGAGATCGTCATCAACGTCCATGGAATGATTAAAAAGATGCCCATTTTCGAAATTAAAAGTATAAAAAAAAAAAAAGAAAAAACATGAACTAACCGTTTGGATGTGAAGCAGCTATACCCGAAATATAATTTGCACCAAATAAAGGTTGTTCAACAAGTAAATTTTTCATATACATAAATGCTATAGCAAATGATTGTAAATTATCTCGTTGATCATCATTAAGAAATATCATTCGATGAGTTGTTACAAATATTTTTCCTTTATGTTTTCCACGAAATACTTCACCATATTGTCGACTAGCATCATCAAATGATAATGTTACATTTTTAGAATGATTTACAATTCTAATGAAAAAAAAAAAAATAATAATAATAAATTAGAATATTATATTACAGTGGTGAATCTAGGATTTTGAAAAAGGACAATCATGATCACAAAACATTTTCTGCTAAGGAAAATGGAAAAATATTTTGGAAGGGAGAGCCGATTGGCTCCAGTACCTTTCTCTATAAATTAGCTACTGTTCCATTTTATTTACTTACTGTTCGCCTTGATAAAGTAATAGACCATTTTGAAAATGTGCTTGATTAATTGACATTATTGATATGAGGATGTAAAAGTTCAAGATAAGCAGTACAAATATTTTCTGTTTTCTTTCACAATAAAATTAAAATTCTACTTTTACAAGTGAATAACTGAACCAATCACATTATACTTTACAGTCAATCTTAAACCTTCAAATTAATAAAAATGAAAAATTTTTTGTTACAATTTTGAGCGTTATTCAAAATATTTGAAAAAATTCAACTAGAAAAAAATAAAATCTAAATTATTTTCATAATTTATTGATTAGATAGTAGCGTCATCTATTGAATAAATAATTGAATATAATAATTTTGAATTAACGCGCTATATTACTACTTTTGATATTTATATTTAAATGTCTGAACATCGTAGTCATTCATCACCAAGTAATGTAGTTAATAAAGCATTTTATGATATAAGTCCAGAAGAATTAGCTGAATTACGAGAAGCTTTTCGTGTATTTGATCAAAATGGTGATGTAAGAAAAAAAAAATTTTTTTCAAATATATTTATGCAGTTCATATATTTTAGGGAAGTATAACACTTTCAGGTTATTTTGTCTATTCTTAAGTTTTCTATAAATGTAAATGTTAATAATAGAATTACGTATTGTTCTTGATCAAATGGGTTTAGATCCAAGTGAAGAAGAATTACAAGATATGATTCGTGAAGTTGATGAAGATCAAAGTGGTACTATTTCATTTGCAGAATTTGTTGGTACAAAAACAAAATCTTAAATAATTTATTAACGAATAAATTTCAACGTTAAGATATGGTTAAAAAAGCAGTTGATACAAATAAAAATTCACGTGAAGAATTATTTCGAGCTTTTCAAGTATTTGGTAAAAATAAATAAAATATTTAGAAGAAAAAGAAAAACATATTAATGAAATATTTTTATATGAATAGATCTTGATCAAAATGGATTTATTACAATGGAAGAACTTCGTACAGGTATTCAGTTAATAGTAATTTTATTCAAATCATAGAATAATACTAATACTTAGTGACCTCAATAATATGATTGTTTTTATTGGAACAAGCAACAAAAGCAAAACTTCACAGAACCTTCTCTGAAGCAAAAAGAAAAAAAAATATCTCAGCCAATAAAAATATGACACGTAACATCATCCAACTATTAACACTTATGACTAAAGTTTAAAATACCCCTGTTCATTGAAGAATTTACTGAGATATAAGTTTTTTCCAAATGTTTTTTTTTCGAGAACATCACTTCAACTTACGAGTGGGTATGCTGCGTCTCATAAATAAAATCAAAACAGTTCTTATAAAGAAATAGCTTCTAAGAAAATATTATTGAATTGAAACCAATCTATCTCTATCATTTATTACGAAATCCATCTCGACTTAGTAGCAATCAAGCTGAAAAACGTTCTAAAAACCTGCATAGTATTTCAAGTAATAGTGTTATATATTAGTCGACAGGTACGCGTATCAGCTATATCATAATAGTTACAGGTATTAGTCTAAAATAGCTTCTGAAAAGTTGTGGATAGCTTGTTAATTCTAGTTTGATCAACTCATTTCTGAGAACTGTTCAAATAGATCAGTTCCTAAAATCGAAACTATTATCGAACTGGTATATCGTTAATCAAGTCTAAATAAACTCGAAAACAATAATAACAACATTAGTCTAGAATTACTAGGCTTATGTTATGAATTTCAAGTCGATTGACATTTTGTCGTTGTGACTTATTTTAAAAGTCGACCCTATATAAAATCTCTTTTCTTAACACATAATAAATTTTCATCTTGATTCTTTTTTGTAATCTCACTTCAAATGAAACTATCCTATTAAGAATCCAATTCTAGTTCTTCAAGCAACTGGTGATCGTCCAACAGATGAAGATGCTCTCGAAATGATTGCTGAAGCAGATATTGATGGTGATGGACGAAGTAAAAAGCATTACTCTATCCAAAAAAAAACAAACAAAGAATAATTAATCTTTCATTATTTTCAGTTAATTACGATGAATTTGTACTAATCATGACCAATAATACATCACCGAGAAAATAATCATCATATGTATTTCACGACAAAAAAAAAAGAAAAATGAATAATAACAAATACAATTTCGAGGAATTAACGTAGAAGTCAACAAAAAAAAAAAATAACGTATGTATATACAACTGAAAAGTAAAACTGTTCGAAAAAAAAAAGCCAAGATAATACAGTACACTTGTTCCAATCTAATACTTAAATATATAACAAAATAAAATAATTCAACTCTGTCATTTAATTAAAAAAAAAAACAATTCACATAGATAGATATATATCCAAAACAAAAAGAAAAATAGAATGACGAGTAAAATATCTTTTTTTTTTTTTTGCTTAAGATCGACTACCACAACATGCTGATTTTTTCGTTGTTTTATCTAAATCAACTCCAGATGTACGATAACGTTCTAAATCTTCATTACATTGCATGTCTCTATAAAAAAGACACAAAATTATAGGTTTTTTTTTTTGTAATGTTTTCGATAAAATAAATATTGAATACATACCGAGCTAATTCAATAAGTACTTCATCTGAATTAGTACCATCTTTTGCACTTGTTTCAATAAATAATGCTTTATATTCCTAGAGAAAGAAAAAAAAAAAAAAATTTCAAAATCTTATTGATATTTATATTAATGAAAAACGAACTTTAGCTAATTTTGTTCCATCATCATATTCAACAACTTTTTTTCCTTCTGCACGCATTTGATCTCTTAAATCAATTTTATTTGCAACAATCATAACTGAAACTTTTTTTGATGTTGATTCAGCTATTGTATCAATCCATTCTCGAACATTTAAAAATGATCGTTCATATGTTGAATCATAAACAAGTATAACACCATCACATCGACGAAAATAAGATTTTGCAATACTTCGAAATCTTTAAAAATGAAAATAGTATTCAATATAAAAGTAAACATTTTTTTATTTCTTTACCTCTCTTGTCCAGCTGTATCCCATAATTGTATAGCAATACGTTTTGAATCTATTTCAAGTTGTTTATTTTGAAAATCAACACCCAATGTAGAATTTATATTTGAAATAAATTTTCCTTTACATAAACGCATTATTAATGTACTTTTACCAACAGCAGCATCACCACAAAAAACGACTTTATACATACGACTAAATAAAAAAGAAAAAGAAACCTCTTAACGGATCTCTGCGGAGAACTAAAATGTGAAACGCGATGTTGATGCTATTGCTAATCACAGAAAGATTGTTTTATTCTATCTATTTTGGAATACATTTCTTAACTATCCTTTTACTTAATCTTCAAGCAGTGCAGTAAGAAAGTAGTTCATATATTAGAACGAGACGTTATTGATATACACTCTATGATCGTATATCAACAATGTCTGTCATGGTCTGAGGAACGGGGAGATTCCAAATTTCTTCTTCTAGACAGTGTCTCATAAATTCTAGGCCTCAACGAAAATGAATTTATTTGTCGACGAAGAGTGATCGCTATCCAACTATATCTATATGAGCTTTGAGTACTTAGAACAATGGTATAAATGACATTATCTCTTTTAATAATAGTCATATAAACAGAAGAAACATGATAATTTGGGTGTGGGTACAGAGAATAGCCACACTCATATCCTAGATACAACGTATCGTTTTGTATAATAGTGTTACGTTACATATGATGAATTCATAGTTCATGAAAACTTCTTACAAAAAAAATACTAGTCGATTTCGAAATTTTAATTATCATGTTTCTTCTGTTTATATCAGTGTTATTAAAAAAGGTAATATCGTCCTAAGTATCAAAAGCTCACATAGATACAGTTGCACAAGAATTACCCTTTGTTTACATATAAACTATTTTTCATTGAGGCCTAAAACTTATGAGACACTATGTATATTTCAACACTTCTTTTAGATTGTGTTCCACAAAAAGAAAAAGATTATGAAAAAAAAAACAATAAAAGGATTTTATTTATTTACTCAAATGGATGGTTTGATGTTGTTTGCTCTTTTTGAATATCAGTTACTGTTGCTCCGCTATGTTTTCTTGTAGGTGTTTGATTAAGTAGTGATGATGATGAATTGATTAGATGTTTTGATAATGAATTTTCATTACCAGATGTTCGTTTTAATGATCGTTGTTGAGACCATCGTTTTGAATTATTACGGTCCATTGCTTTCTATTAAAATTCAAGAATTTATTTATTTATTCTTTTTGATAGAAGTCAACAATCGAATATACCGCATCGAAAAGTTCATCAGAATCAGTATCATCTTTATTTCGCTTCATTGACGTTGGTCGATATGATTTGGAATTTTTTAATGATTGTTTATTAGCTTGTTCATCACGATCTGATTCAAGTTCAGTTGCATCACGTACAGTTGTTAATGATAAACCACTATCTATTTAAATCAAAAACACAAAAAAAAAACAAACAATCATTGATTATCATGATACATATAAATCTATATCGAAATTTAATTAGGCTAAAGCTTGAAGAATACAAGAAGGCTTTTTGCTTTCCCATTAAATCACAGAGACATTTTTCGATACCATATTCACATGCAAAAAACAAACCATTCATAGTATTGTGTCTACGAGCGTTATTAGAAGGAAATAAAATTGTTGTTGCTGGTGAATTTTTTTGTAATGAAATATCAGCAACATCTAATTTGGATTTAGATAAAGATCTGTTTCCATTTATACCTAATTCATCAGTTGATTCGATATCGAATGAATCAAGTTTTCCAAGATGAGATTGTTGTTGAGCTGTTGATGTATATGATGATGATGTACTAATTTATATAAAGAAAAATTTAATAAATATCAAAAAATATCTTTTATAGCATTCTACAGTTTAGTCTGATTAAAAATCAATTAAAATGACCGATAAGTATAAGACCAGATCAATCTTTAACATACAAGCTACACTTCGAGATACGCTTTTCAATTTAAACTTATTCAAATCATAGAAGTACATAAAAAATACTTATAATTTTTCGCTCTATAAAAATTATAGTACATTCGAACATTGACATCTATGGATAATTCTCACAAAAGTCAATGTTTTTTTCTGATAGATAAATTGTATGATATATGAACATACCAATCAATTTTTGGATGATGATTATGCCAATAAGTTTCAAGAATTGATCCACTTCGAGACATTCGTTTTGATGTTGGATGAATCTATAATAATAACCAAAAAAAAACAAAACAATCTTTTTTATTTTCTTGTAAGAATATTTCAATGAAATACGAACATCAGAAGAAACGTTGGCTTTGTTTGATTCGATCATAACACGTAATGCATCATTTTCATCACGAAGTTTTTTATTAACTTCTCTATAAAAAAAAAAAATAGTAAAATATTAAATATAATTATTATTTATTGTACATACACAAGTTGACGAACATTTGATTGTAATGATTCTTTTTCATGATAATTATTTGATGATACTTGTTTTTCTCTAAATAAAATATTTATTTTTTTTTTATTACAATTTAATTTCTTTCAGACAAAATGGAATTTAGGAAATTAAACTATATATGGAATAGATACTTTAGAACATTACAAAATCATGAATATCATTTCATTTATTTTAAAAATAGATGAAACTGACTTGTATCTGTTTTCATCGATATTGAGAGGTTATATGAAAATGAATATTTTTTTTTTCAATATCGAATGGTATGTTGTCTGCAGCATCTAAATTTTGGCTACAGAATCTTTATTTTAGGGTTAATTCATTGTCTAAATTTGAGTAATTGCTCTAGTTCGCCTTTAGAGAATAGATCATGTATCGATGTTATACCCCAAATCTGAATACTGTAGCTTAAGCACTTTCCGAAAAATAGGTATATGTGTTTGATATTCCTATTTTCATGTGTATGTAGAATGATCAAGTGTGACTTATCATAACTTTTCTGTTTTATTCGATTGTAGTTGAATATTAATCTACTGGTTATACTTAATGTACACTTTGACTCTTATGCCATTGCTTCTAATCTCATTCTTTTTGTTATTATTGTGGTATTTTCAACTTTACTGCAAAATTCATTTTTGCCTATATTAAAAAAATTGTAAAAATAAATTCAAAGAAATCAAATCGATATTTGTAAAGTATTTTGATGTACTTAGCGGACGTGCGTAGGAGCGTCTCGAGTGGAGGATGATCTCCAGTCTTGAAAAATTTCTGCTTTTTCTCCCAGCGAAATTGAATGATTTTCTTCATTTTTATTGTCCACTATTGGTGATCTAATATCAACAATATACGTAGTTTGATTTCTTTAACTTTGTTCTTTTTTTTTTTATCTGTGAGAGAATATTTTCATACTGTAAAAGCATTGTTTGATGTTCATTTAATTGAGTTTTCAATGATTGTAAATCACTTCTTAATATTGCAACTGTAGTTAATGAATCATTTAATGATGAATTAAGTGTTTGATTTTCTTGTGTTAATTTAGAAATTTCTTCACGTAATAAAACAATTGATGAATCTTCACTTGATTGACGATCAATATAACATTGTTCAATCTAAATAAATCAAAAAACAAATATTGTTTTTTTTTTTCTTAAGGAGACAAAACAAAAACACAAAAAAAAAAGAACATACAGCTTGTAAACGTTGAAGATTTCCTTGTAGCTCAGTTAATTTTTTGCTTGCACGTTGTTGAATTAATTCTCGTTCAGATTCAAACTTTTGTTTTTCCTATTGAGAAGAAATTTTTTTTTTTTTTTTGTATTCGAAGATTATATAAAAATTCTTACTTCTTTACGAACTTTTACTTCTAATTGATGCATATCACGTTCTTGATCTTCTTCAATACGTCTTAAATATTTTTCATTCATTTCTTTTTCTCTATATATATTTATATAAAAGATATAATTAGAAAATATTTTAATTTGATTAATTACCGTCTATAAGAATCTTCTAATCGTCTAATTTCTTTACGATATTTGATTATATCACAAACAAATACTTCAAGAATTGATTGAAACTGTTCTATGGATTCACTTGATCCACTTCGTAATGTTTCATAAAAATCATAAATTTGTTCTTGACTAAATAAAAAAAAAAATGAAATAAATTCGATTTATTTTCGATAAATTACAACTCACAAATCAAAATTATTAATCATTTGAATAGATAAATTTCTTTGTTGAAGAAATGTATTTAATGATAATATCTTTTGTTTACTAATCTCATCGTCTGAAGTCATGTTTTTTCTTTTGAAAAGTCTATTTAAAACATATGTCAAATTTGTTGATTATCTATTTAACTGATTTTGTTCGAAATTTCGAACAATTATTTGTCCTCTCTTCTTATGACTACGACCAAATGGTGCCTTATTTTTTTCTTGTTTTACTTTAGAGAATCTATTCAATTGAGAAAAACATACATTTCTTTACTTACTTGGAAAAAATATTTTGAGTCAAACCGTTAGTATCGATTAAATCCATCATACAATTTTTAATCAATCGAAATTGTTAATATTTTAAAAAAAAGCAAAATTTGTAATTTGATGGGAATAAAACACAACTCGTTTGTCTGTGTCGTTGTCGTTACGATTATTTTTTCTGTCTACTGATTTTTCTCCTTCTTCTTCTTCTTTTTCTCCTCCTTCTGTCTTCCTCTTCTTCTTCTTCTTCTTCTTCTTGTGTTACAGTGAATATATACATAATTCCGTACACAATAGCGTTTATGCAAACAATTCGATACTCTATTAACTAGTCGGCTTTATTCGCCTTTTTTTTATTTTCGCTCAGGTGAACATAATTTAATGTTAATTATAGTTTGAAGCACAAGAAACGAAAAAACGATTACTAATATATATTACAAGTGTTAATTCTACTCTGTAATAGTGTATGAAGAACAATTTTTTTTTTTTGCATATTCTGTTATGTAAATATGTCAATATACACTTTAATCACGACTTATCTTCATGAGAAAGTTTCTTTGTATAAAAAAAATGTTCTATTTATAATCGTATTTGTCAATAAATCGTCTTAAAATGATTAGGGTTTTTTTTTTTCATACCATGATAGATTATTGAATACTTCATTGATTTGTGTTTGTGCTACTTCTGTTGTTAAATCATCTTCATCTTTATCAATAACATTTTCATAATTAATTAATTTTTTTTTACGTAATAAACGTTCATTATCATTTGGTTTAATAAGTTCTTTAAAACCATTTGTAAATTCTTTTAAACTTATACGATTATCATGATCAGTATCAAGATCATTAAATATAATGTCAATTTCAGATGAAGATAAATGTGGACATATACGTTGAAGTTTTTCTTTATCAAGATAACCACTTCCATCTGAATCGACTATTCGAAAGATTTCATTGATATCATCAGTATCACCCATTGTTTAGTATACAGATCAAAATCGTCTAAATAATAGTATTTTTTATAGCTATTACTTGGCCTTTTTTTGCTCCGTTATTTTTATTCTTTACAGCCGATACCAATGACACGTTGTAACGATTGCACCAGATGTTCGTTGTATTCTGTGAAAAAAAAAAAACGAAAGAGAGTAAGAAATAAAAGACTGAAGTATATAAAGACTAAAGATATTTGTCAATTACAAGCATCTAAAAAAGGGGATGACTATTTCTTTTTTTTTTTTATTCTATCTGATCAATAAAATAGGCTTACATTGATATAAAAATAAATTGAAAATACAATCTCGATAAAAGAATAAAAAAAAAAAAAAAAGTATATTTATATGATACATTCTATAACTGATCATGAATCAGATTCGACTCAGGATGAGAAAAAAAAATATTTGTATTGGATCTTAATTTTAATATGATTTATATACGATCAACATTATTGTATATGTCAATGAGAAAAACTGTACGTCATTCGTTATTGATTAACAACGCAGAAAAATGAAAAATTTCGTTATTCATATAAAAAATGATTTATACGAAATTGATTTCATATGTATTGTGATATCATGTGTTTTTCATATTATGTCTAGATTGTTTTTTCTACTAATTAATATTTAAAATTGTCGAATTGAATAATATTCTTATCGAAGGTTGTCGATATGTTTTAGGGGTGTGAAGGACAAAAACTTCAGTAGAAAGTGCTTTCATTCTCGGAGTACTAGAAGTGATGATCGAGAGGGAGCGGGGGCAAGAGCGAAATTCACCGTAACCTGGTTCCTCTCACAATAGTCGATCTGCTATCAGACCGTTCTTCCTCTAGGGCCTGCTTATTTCTATTTGATTTACTATTAGTGAAAGGCAAATAGTGTTTCAAAGTCCAGTTTTTGCCCAAAGGAGCAAGTCAAGCATTTTTTTTTTTTTGAGAAAAGGAGACAAGAAGACCTCCTTAATCGAGAGCTCTGTTCTTGTCAAGATTTTATTAAAATTTATATTTAATATTCTTATTTTTTGTTTTTAATAAGAAAAAAAAAAAAAAACTTTTTTTTTAATGTTAGTCTGTATAAACTGCAAAAACAGTTGCAATAGCAAGCATATCATATCCTAATGGTGCTTGTAGAGTTACTGATCCATCAGTTTCATGATTCCATAAACACCTTGATACAATAGTCAATGATTGATGTTGTTGTCGATCCGGTATTGTTTGTACAATAGTAACAAGTACAATAATTTTATATCGAGTACTATTTAATATATCAGGTTTAGTCATACGACGTAATTGTTGTGATAAATCTTGAACAAGTTCTCGACATAATTTTGGATCATATCGAATTAATTTTGATATAGCAGAACATCGACGATTAAATTCAAATTGAAGAAGTTTTTGTGCACGTGAAAAATCAAATTTTCGATAAGGACCAGGAATATATGGTGATGTTTGTAAATTTTGATTGATAGTAATAGGACTTACTCCATGAACTTGATCAAAATCTACACTTGCATATGAATAATTATACCAAGATGGAATTGTTACATTTACAGATGATCGAAAATCATGAACATGTTTTGTTAAATTTACAACACGTTGAAGCATACGAGTTGTTGAACGTTTCGTTTCCATCTTGGTTATTATTATTGACGTTTTGTCGACATTTATTAGAAAAAAATGTCATTATTAAAAGGCAACTGGAAATTATAACACTGTTTCTTCGTTTAGAATTGAACATGCAAACATTATAATAGGAGTTAAAACGAGTATATGCTTTTTTTTTTGCTTGTCAATCACTTTTTTTTTTTCCTTATTAAATTTATACTCTTTTACATTGTCTCAAATCTGGCAACTAGAATGAATTCCTTTTATTTTGTCTTTTGTTGTTATGCAGAATCTTCTCAGCAACAGGAAGAACAAGAAAGAAACAGTTAAACAATCAGGTAAAAGAGAAAAAGAAAAAAAAAAAAAAGAAAAAGAAAAACGAATGATTACTCAAAAGAACATATATATATTTGATTGTCGTACTTACTGGTTGAAAGAACGCAAGCACACAACTGAGAAAAGAAAATAGGATAAAAAAAAACCACATTAAATTTTAATAGAACAAAAGTAGGTGTACACCATGATGAGCCAACATGAAATGTCAAGGCAACCAATAATTTCTTTTCATTTTACATTAGAAAAAAATTCTTTTCTCAAATGACTTCACCATGTCGACAACAACAAATGCCTCAATTTGAAACAGCAACAAAAAATATGTCTATATCACCACGTACAACACCAATCGATTGGAAATTACGTTGTGAAACCTTACAATTTGAACATGAAGTTGAACTAGAACGTATACGTCTTCATTATGAACATGAACTTAAAGAGAAAATAACAGGTAAATGATTTTGTAGAATGCATAAAATTAAATAAGATAAACAAAAATTTTCTTTTTTTTTTTATTTAGAAATAAAAATACAATTGAAACGTGAATATGAATCTCAATTTGCTGAATATCGAGCTCGTTTATTTGAACAACAACAACAACAACAATTACATAATTTAAGTTCTAGTAGTCTTGGTCTTGATCATAGTATTGGTGAAAAAGTTCGTGAACAAGTACGTCTTGCTCAAGAATTTGATCGTAATGAAGATGAACGTCGACAATTCTTATTACAACAATCAACTGATAGTGAAGAACTTAAACGACTTATCAATAAATTACATACTGAAGGTAAAAGAAAATTTCATGAAAATAAATTTATATTTAATAAATTATTAATTCTCAAATTTTGATTGCATAATGAAATATGTAGTTCTAATAAACTAAACTATGCATAAATAGACAAATAAGAATGATGAAACCTTTCAAAAGATACATATATATATATTTGTACATTATCATCATAGTCATATAATGATACATTAAAAATGCACTCAAGAAACTGTAGTTTTTACTTTTCTATTATGTAAAAATAAAGAGAAAGCCATATTATCATTTATTTGATAGATACAAATAATTTTTCGACAAGAAAATCAGAATATTATTGTGTTTTGTTTCAGTATAGAAGAAAATCTTTGTAGATATCTTTTAAGTACAAGTAGAAGATTAAGAAAATCACTTTAACTATACAATGAAAATAAATAATTTTCAATATAAAATATTGTTCTTGTCGAAATCTTAAATCCGAGCAGTATGTTATGAAATTTTCAGATAACATAAATACATTCTTTTTAAAATGTTAAATTTACAATAATTTTTTCTGTTATAAAATTTTCTTGGAAGTAGTCGATTGTATACATTCAATATTTCAAGATTGTCAAAGATTTCATTTCAGACGTTAACAAATACTAAAAAAAACATGAATCTAGTTAAAGTATTATAATTTAGACTAATCACAAAAATTTTTCATAACATTATTCTGGTTTTGTTTAAAAGATGAGTTCAAGCACGCACTAAATATCATATTTACAAATTTTCATATTAGTAAAGAAAAAAAAAATCTATCCAACTGAACATTACTTTTTGCACTAACAAACAAAATAAGCTGCTAGTTAAAATTAGGTAAACTCAATTTTAGCCATACAATTCATAGTAGTAAGATTAAAAGCAAGATTCGTGATCATAGAGACCTTAGATTTTCGACATTTTTTACTTTCGAACAAAGTCGAGAGAGTCTAAAAAACGAAACTCTTCAATGTTTCTATACAATACAGATGATGGTACTATAAATGTATATATACGAATATTTTAATCAATATAAAAATTTATGTCATTTCATTTTTTGTTAGGTGTACATGTATTATCATTAAGTGAACTTCTTTCATTACGATTAAATGGTATAAATATTAGTGGAACAGAAGATTCTATACATTCATTACAAAAATTACATGAAGAAAATTCATTTCTTCGTTCACTTATTGCTAATATAAATGCAAAAGAAACAGGTAATAAATTAATAAAATGTCTTGCTGATATATTTCGTTGTGAACAAGAACGTCGTTTAATACAAATACGTCAACATCCAAATTCTATTCAACTTGAACAAGAAATTCATGATATGTGCAATTATCAACGTGATGCATTAGGAAAACTTTTTTCTGAAGATCATTTTTCATTAATTAATGAACTTGAACAAACAAAACAACAATTAAATTATTTAAAAAATAAATTTGAACAATTAAAACAAATACAAAATCTACCATCATCAAATAAATTTTATTTTAAATATATACGTTGTGAAAATTATCGAAAAGCTTTAATATATCAAAAACGTTATTTAATTGTTTTATTAACTGGTTATGAAGATACAGAAACTTATGCATTAAATGAAATTCGACGTTTAACTGGTGATACAAGATCAAATTCTAATTCTCATTCATATAATTATGATAGAATGAAATTTATTCGTAAACAACCATATCATCGACGTTATCTTGATTATCGATTTCGTTTTCGATGTTATGTTCGAGTTGTTATTGCTATAATTCGAATGCGTTGGCTTGTCAAAAAATGGATACACAAATTAGCTGATCATAAATAGATTTTCTTTTTCTTTTTTTTTGTTTGTTTTATATATTTATTTTTACTATTCGCTATGAACATATATATAGTATTAGTTTGAGATTGATAGAAAATAAATTCTTTTATTTCTTGTGCACATTTTAATGAATGAAATTATTCTTTTGTTATTGAAATTCAAAAAATTTAACATTATGCATTTATCAACTGTAAGCTATCTGATCATGAACAGAATGATATCTTGGTTGATATATTGAAGTCATTCGTCTATTTGATTGAACAACTAAATAAATGTATTTATGATATATTTCATTTTTGTTGATAATTTCCGATGTATATAGATAGTAATAGAAATTATTTTGATTAAAAAATTTTAATTAATAAATTGTTGGAAAGAAGAAAGATTACTGTGGGTAGCTGAAAAACAATTTCAACCGAACATTCATAGATTATAAAAGAAGAAACTGAAAACC